TCTACCACTTGAGCCACAGTTCCATTTTCTTCTTTTTTCTTTTCTGCTGGTTACTTGGAGGTAAGGCTCACAGATTTTTCTGCCTGAGCTGCCGGGATCCTCAGAATTCAGCTTCCTGGGATTACAGGTGTGCGCCACTGGCCCCGGCTTCCTTGGGTGCTGGTTTGTGACAGGAGCTGTCCACTGTCACCATTTCCAAGAACCCGGAGGGTAGCTGCGCCCTGCGAGCATCTCACACAGCTCACGCTCTGCGTGGGCACGGCTCACGCTCCGCGTGGGCCCTGTGAGCGTCTCGCACAGCTCACGCTCCGCGTGGGCACATCCTGTCTGGGCACGGCTCACGCTCCGTGTGGGCCCTGTGAGCATCTCGCACAGCTCACGCTCCGCGTGGACACATCCTGTCTGGGCACAGCTCACACTCCGCGTGGGCACGTCCTGTCTGGGCACAGCTCACGCTCCGCGTGGGCACGTCCTGTCTGGGCACAGCTCACACTCCGCGTAGGCACGTCCTGTCTGGGCACGGCTCACGCTCCGCGTGGGCCCTGTGAGCGTCTTGCACAGCTCACACTCCGCGTGGACACATCCTGTCTGGGCACGGCTCACGCTCCGCGTGGGCCCTGTGAGCGTCTTGCATAGCTCACGCTCCGCGTGGGCACATCCTGTCTGGGCACAGCTCACACTCCGCGTGGGCACGTCCTGTCTGGGCACAGCTCACGCTCCGCGTGGGCACGTCCTGTCTGGGCACAGCTCACATTCCGTGTGGGCACGTCCTGTCTGGGCACAGCTCACGTTCTGCGTGGGCACGTCCTGTCTGGGTTTGATTTCTATTTTATTTTACTTCTTTATTTTGCAATGCTGGGTGTGGGGCCAGAGCATATTGGGCAGGCTCCACCACCAAGCTGTACCCCTAACCTGGCTGGTTCTTCATTTAGCAAGATTCAGTTAACCTTGATGGAGAAGACTGGGGTGAAGCAAATGGGGGCGGGGGCAGGGGCGGGGGCGGCTTTGGGAGAAGGAAGAAACCATCGTCCTGTTTTCACCACTAAACAGCACAGCCATTCCCTCCGGCTGGCGTGTGCACCGAGCTCCGTGTAACCCTGAAAATTCCAACTCTCAGACAACCAAGGGCACGGATCTGCTAAACAGCTGCTGCTGCGCTGGCTAAACTCCCTCTTCAACCCCTGGCCCTGGCTCGGCCGAGGTCTGGGCCTGGCCCACTGCTCACCGGGAAAGCCCACCCCGTTCCCCGCTGCCCAAGGTGACACAGACTCTGGAAAGCCTTCACGCTGCGGCCAGAGATTCAAGTTCCTCCCACTCCAGGGGCCTGGAAACCAGCATTCCTCAGCCCCAGCCTGGGGCATGCTGAGCTGTGCAGTTTACTGTAGACACAAAAGACGCCTCCTCTCCATGAGTCCACCTAAAAACAGCTAGCTGCTCAAATGGACAGTATCTGAAATATTAAAATACACAAGGAAAACAAGATGGGCCCCTGAGACTGCTGCTGTGGTGAGCAGGAGGGAGCCGCTGCCCACAACCCAGTGCCAAAAATGCCACAGGACAGATTCCTGAGCCGGGTGCCGGTGCTCACCTCTGTAAGCCTAGCTACTCAGGAGGCTGAGATCTGAGGAATGCAGTTCCAAACCAGCTGATACTCTTTCCTCCAATAAACCACCCAAAAGCCAGAAGTGGAGCTGTGGCTCAAGTGGAAGAGCATCAGCGTTTGAGCAAAATAAAGCTCAGAGACAGCACCCAGACCTGGAGTTGAAGCCCAGGACTGGCACACTGACACACAAAGATTCCTCTAAGGATGCCAACCCTACCAGGTGCTTCTGAAGCCACACCTCCTTGGGCCCCTGTGGGGCCACAGAGGGCAGGAGGCCTGGCCAGGGACTCAGGTGACCAGGGCAGAGGGCAGAAATGATGAGGACAATGTCATGTTAGCCAGGTCCCACCTAGGGTCTCCACTAGCCAAGGTAAGGTTTTGGAAGCAACTGAGGCCCTGCCGGAGGCTGCCGCGCCTCCCCCCCCCCCCGGACTTTGCCGCTGCCAGTGCCCGCCACAGGGGTGAGCAGATCACCGGCTGTAAGCCAGTCTGCTCTGCAAGGCACAAGCTGACACCTGCCGTGTGACCTTGGCCAATGGCTTCCTGTCTCTGAGCTTTAGCTTCTGCGCCCCTCAAAGGGACCTGTCTCGTCGGGGGAGGGGTACAAGGGCCCCATGTGGGGACGCAGGACACCTGCGGAAGCTGTCACGGCACCCGTGTAGGAAGTGTCACCAACCAAGAGTGTGCCAGCACCCACCTGGCTAGGAGCCAGAGCCAGCCCACGCCCCCAGGCAGGGCCTCGGGTGGGACGTGAGCGGCTCCCCTGGGGCTCGGGCTTCGCCAGCATCCCCTCCCCAGCTCTCATGGGCCAGCATGGGAGTCCACACCTGTCACCCCCCCACCCCTGCGTGGGAGAACCCAGACACTGGCCTGAGGATCGGAGGGATGGCGAGTGAGCTGAGGCCAGGCGGGAACGGTGCAGCAAGGAGGGAACCGGCCCTGCCCAGCAGAGCAGCCCGCCGGACGCGGCCCACGCGAGGGCAGAGGCAACGCCCCATGGCTCTGGGAGTCTGAGTGCCCAGGACCCAGGAAAGGCCTGGGTAGAGCCGGACACCGCGCCTGTGCACCGGGCTGAAGGATGAGAATGCTGGAGGTGCGGGCCTCGGCTGGCACAGGCAGCCGGGTGGTGCGGGCCTCGGCTGGCGCAGGCAGCCGGGAGGTGCGGGCCTCGGCTGGCGCAGGCAGCCGGGTGGTGCGGGCCTCGGCTGGCGCAGGCAGCCGGGTGGTGCGGGCCTCGGCTGGCACAGGCAGCCGGGTGGTGCGGGCCTCGGCTGGCACAGGCAGCCGGGTGGTGCGGGTATCAGGGTGGCACAGGCAGCTGGGTGGGGTGGGGTACACCCCTGCTCTGTTCTGTGGAACCCCGAGCTGGGCCTTGGCCCCTGGGAAATTGGAACTCACCCCACCCCTTCCTTGAGGTAGCAGCCAGACGAGCCGTCTGCCAGGAATTCTGTAAACACGTATTTATTCAAAAAATACTACAGAGGGAGATTTGAATTCAAAAACACAGTCATATACAGGGACAAAATGTACTGGACCAAGAAAAGAAGGGGGACACGGCCGCATTCCAGAAGGGAGCTCGGTGGGACACTATTTACACGTCATTTATAAAAGAGCACATCTATAAAAGAGTGTAATACCAAAGTATAAATGCAAAATATAGTGGCACGTCGTGTTAACAAGAGACCAGTACCTGGAGGACATGGCGGTCGGGTGGGGGCGTCTGGTGCCTGGGGGGACATCTGGCTTGTCTGTAAGGCCGCTGGCGGTGTGGCACTGCCTGCCTGGGGCTGCCGTGCGGGCCACGTGGACCCCCCCCCCCCCCAAGGAAACATGGCTCCGGAGGGCGGATGGATGGGCTGTGGGAGGAGGCGCCGAGGCACCGGGTGACAGGTGTCTCCTGGCCACCGGCCCATGTGGAGGGCTGCTCGGGGTCACGGCTGGCAGCCACGGCCACAGCGGCTCCTGTGCCAGTCTCTGCCCTTGGCTCTGCTCCTGGCTAGTCCCGGGACTTCTGATTGCTTCCTGGGGTATCCCGTGTTTGTGGTTTTTCCCAACACACCCTGATCACTTGACAGAAACCAGGAGCTAAGTGTGGCCAGCTCTGGGTGCTGCTCACAGCGGCAAGGCCCTGGAGCTGGCCACCCCAGCCTCCTGCCCTGGAGCTCCAGGAGGCCACAGAAGGGCCCGACAGGAACCCGCTTTATCTTAGAGTTGGGGGAAGGAGGGGAATGGGTCAGAAATCCAGACCTTTCTGGGCACCCAGGTGTGTACAAGATGGGTCCCTGGTGCTCTGGTGAGCTTGGCCGGCACCGGCCAGGCCCGGACCCCTGACTCAAGCTTTCTATCCAGGATTCACAGTGCGGTCCCGCAGAGGACGGATGCCTGCCATGGCTGCTCCAGCCCTCAGCGCCCCCCTGCGGCTGTGTGGCCCTAGCACCCCAAGTCCCTCCAGTCCACAGCTGTCCTTCAGGGCAGGGGAGCACTGGCGCAGGGCCCGGGCAGGGGAGGGCGGGCAACCGGCCGGCAGCGCTGCCGTGCACAACCCAGGGTGGTTCTTCATGGTGTGTGTGTGTGTGTGAAGCCATGGAGACAGACAGTCGCCAGGCACAACTGCCATCGCGGGCCTCGCAGCTGGGTGAGAGGCTCCGGGCAGAGCCCGGTGAGCCCCGCGTGGCAGCTACCGTCCGCGCTACAGGCGGGAACTCCACAGATGCTACTCGGGCCCAGGTGGCCCAGGGAGCCGGGCTGGTGAGTGGTGCGGGGTGGCTGGTGCACAGTGTAGGTAGTAGCTAGACTCTGGGGCCCTGCTCGGCCTGGTGCAGAGCCCCAGCCTGGGCCGGCTCGCTGGTCCTGTGGGTCACATGGGGGCCGCAGGCGGCTCCGGCTGGCGTGGCCGCTGGCTTCTGCTACCTCTGCACAATGTCGCTGATCTCCTTCACCGAGCTGAGGAGCTTGCTGAAGTCCTGCGTGGCGGCCGGGCCGCTGCCTGCAGGTGCTGGGCAGATCTGCAGTTCCCGGAGGTTGTTCTCCAGTTTGTTGATGGCCTCTCGGAAAGCAAACTTGTTCCTCATCTGCTGGATGGAATCCACGTAGCTCACACAGAACGTGTAGAGGTTCTGGCCGGCCTCCAGCACGGCGGTGTGGCTGGCCATCTGCTCCGAGTTCCTGGAGATGGCCAGGCACAGCGCCTCCGTGCTGTCCAGAACCACGCTTTTGGTGATGGCGCCGCTGGCGAGGCGCTCGGGGGGCTGGCGCGTCTTCCGCAGAGACACACGGGTTGAAATGAGGGGGATGAAGGCGGCGGTGGAGGACGGGTCCCCTGCCAGGGCGGAGGGGGCTGCTGGCAGGGTGCTCGGCGCAGGGGCTGGGCTGGTGGGAGCTCCTGGTGGCTTGGTGGCGGACTGTGGCTTTGGCACAGATGGGGGCGCAGGCTTCTTGAAGCCCTCTCCCAGCTGGCTGGGTTTGGCAGCCTCGCTGTTCGCAGCCTCCACGGCTGGGCTTGTGGCTCTTGCTTTGGTGGTGGAGGGCGCCTCGGCGGCCACTTCGTGGCCCGGGCTCTGCGTGGGCTTCCCGGCCTTCCCCGAGGCGGTGGGTGGCGGCGGCGGCGGGGCGGGCTTGAGCTTCGACAGCCTGCCCCGGTCTCGGTCTCGGCCCGGGGAGTCGGAGCACTGCTTGTGCCTCCTCACTCGGGACTCCTCTGGGGGTGCCTTGCTGGGGCCCCCGGGAGCACCCGCTCTGCTGCTGGGGGACACTGGCTCAGCTGCAGCAGGGGTCCCCAAGCCACTGCCCTTCCCGGCCTCATCCTTGTGGGGCAGGCCGGCAGGCGGCGTGGTGGCCTGGCGACGCAGGACTTTGGGAGTCAGGGTTGGGGGGCTGGAGCCGGGGCTGGGCTCGGCTGGGTCCTTGAGCACCTCGTCGGTGGCCTCCTCGGCCCTCTTCCCCAGCCGGGGCGGCGGCGTCACGCCCCGGGCCCCCTGCTCCGACCTGGGCTCGCTGGCTCGTTTCCGGGGCAGGGCTGGCTTCTCACTCTTGTGTCCTCCGAAAGTGGACGAGTCAAACTGCCTCCCCGTGGACTGGAGGTCACGAGGCAGCGTGACCGACCTCCACTCCGTGTCCCTGGCCCCGTGGGGCACGCAGGAGGCAGAGCAGGAGCGCAGGAAGCGCTTGCTGCCGCCGCCGCCACCGCCACCGCCGCCCTCGTCTTCTCCGGCGGCCAGGCGGCTGCTGGTGAGCGTGCTGGTCTTCCACAGGGGCGGGGACCGGAAGCCCGAGCCCCCCGCCTCCCGGAAGGCCCCATTGGGGACGCCCGCTCCATTGCTGGACTTCGGGGACTTGGTGGCCTCAGCTGCATCGGAGAGGGCGAGCGCGGGCACCCCATTGCTGATCTCCCGGCTGTCCTCCTCCCCGGCGCCCCTGCGCTCCGGCTGCCCGTCCATCTCCCGGAAGGAGCTGCTGCGCTTGGGTGGGGCTGGCGCCATCTTCTTCTTCTTCTTTATCAGGGCGCTAAACAGGTTGGTCTTTCTGTCTTTGGGCAGGAGGCGCTCGTCCTCCGCCAGGCCGCCCTCGGGGGGGCCCCGCTCTTTGCGAGGGAGCAGAGGAGACACGGCAGGCTCGTGGTCCGGGGGTTCTGAAACACAGGGAGAAGCCATGAACAACTCCAGCCCAACGCTCGCCGCGGGGCCTCGGGCCTGGCACCCGGGCCTCGCTCCGCCACCCACACTCAGCAGCTTCTCACTTCTCGCCGGGCTAGGCCAGGTCAGGCCAGGACACCACGGCCGTGCAGGCGTCAGTGAGATATGGAAGGCAGTGCTCACAGGGGTCTGGCCTGACCGAGCCCCAAACTCAAGCCACTGTCGGGGTCAGGAGCCATGGATGTGCTCAGGAAGGGTGGGACACAGAAGGCCGATGGCCTGGTCTTGCAGCCCAACAGGTTCACTTTAGTGTCACTGTGGTCGGTAAAAGTGACAAGGCCAAGCAACGGGTCAGGCCTGTGGCTTGCAAACAGCTGGCCCTAAGGCTCCCAAGAGGCACAGCTGGAGGGAGGGGTCCGTGTACCGTGGGGGCCCAACAGTGGACCCTTATGCACGGGAAATGGGAAGGGATGTCCTCACATTTTTCAGTGGGCAGTCTTTGAACACGAGTGATAGTGGATGTGGAACCTGGCTTGTTGCCCAGCTCCGGCCTGCCTGGGGAACCATCCTGCCGGACCTGCACACAGAACACAGGGTCCCGGCCACGCCGGTCACTACATCAGGGTCTCAGAACACCCAGACCAGGGAGGGGCCTTCCAGAACCTTCATCAGGGGGCGGCAAGGAGTTGCAGACCTGGTGATATGCACTGTGCCAGCCAGGGCAGAATCACTGAGTGACACTGGGCCCCCTCGGTGGACACAGCAGCCACAGCACCACGATGGCTCGTGGCCTGCTTTTAGTACACACACATTCACACTGCCTCCCCTCTGCCCTGAAACCCGGACAACCAAGGGAAGGGAGAAAGGGCAAATGGCCCTGTGCCACGCTTGTTTGCGGGATGGCAGCTCACACAGACTTTGTATAACACGTATGCACCTACAGACAGGCTGGACAGCTAGCTTCTTATTAACAGGACTAAACGGTTAAAAATAATAAGGGGCCTGGAAGGTGGCTCAGTGGTAGAGTGCTTGCCTTGCATGCATGAGACCCTGGGTTCGATTCCTCAGCACCACATAAGCAGAAAATGCTGGAAGTGGCACTGTGGCTAAGTGGTAGAGCTGAAGAGCTGAGGGACAGCGTGTAGGCCCAGAGTTCTGGCCCCATGACTGGCATAATAATACTAATACAAACCCTGGCCAGGCACTGGTGGCACACACCTGGAATCCTAGCTACTCAGGAGGCTGAGATCTGAGGATTGTCCCATTAACCACCAAAAAAACTTGAAGTGGAGTTGTGGCTCAAGTGGTAAAGCACTAGCCTTGAGCACAAAAGCTGAGGGACAGCGCTCAGGCCCCTTGAGTTCAAGTGCCACAACTGGCACAAAACAAAACAAAGCGAAAACTCCAAAATGGGGTGTATGGAAAGCACCCCCCTCCCCCCATCTCACCAGCACGGTGCTGCCCACTCTCCTCATCTGGGTCCGCGGCAGCTCTGCGAGCCCAGTGCCTCAGCCGCTGGCTTCGCGCAGTGTCCACATGCAGGAAGGACCACGTGTGTGCTAACGTGACCCTCCGTGGCACCTCTCGGGCCCTCCCAGTGGACCCTTGGCAGCTGGGAAAAGCATCTGGACACTCTTTCCAGAAACCACAGGGATGCTGGCCCTGCTCCGCAGGTGTCTCCTGGGCCTGCAGAGCAGGGCTCAGAGCTCTGTTCCCAACACCTCTGCCTGTCTGCGCTGAGTGGCAAGCCCGCAGCTCCAGGAGCAGCGGAGAATCTTCCCTCCTTCCAGAGCTGGATGGGGGCTATTTGCCTGTCCTGGACAGCTGGGGCAGGGCGGGCACCTACCAGTCTCTCCCTGGCCCCGGGAGTGGGGTGTGTCGGGGACGTCAGCGGAGTCTTTGTGCTCAGCAGCTCTTCTGGAGGTCCTGGTCTTGGTGGGCAGCTCCGGGGCCTGTAGCACGGCACCGGCAGCGCCCCGCACGCCTTGTTTCCCCAGCTCCTTTTCCACTTCTAAGAATCAGACAGCACAGAAGCCAGCAGCTGTCAGAGGCCAGCTTGGATTGAGCTTTCCTTCCCCTTTAAGCTAACAGAGGGCAGCTGCATAGTTACTGAAGAGGGACCAGATGCTGGAGAAACACCTTAGCGTTTTGCAGAACCCTGCAGGACGGCAAAAGACAGCACGCCACCACAGTCCCTGCGCGGGCTCCTGGTCACAGACAACTGTGCGGCTTACTATTTTGGCCAGGAGTGAACTAAAGACCTACACAGCTGCCCCCACCCAACTTTTTGCCCACCATACCAGGCACTGGGGATGAGACTTTACCATCTGAAATGCTGGATTCCTGGAACATGGTTTCGAAGGCCTGGTGGATTTCAGCAAAGGACGGCCGGTCAGAGGGGCTCCACTGCCAACCTGGACAGACGAGTCCCAAGAGAGACCACGTGTGAGGCCTTGCTAACAGCCAAGCAACGGCCTGGATGGGAGAGATATGCCAACTCTGCCAACACCTTACGCTGAGACGTTGAAAGGACAGATGCCCTTACGGTCTATTACAAATATTAAGAATTTGTAGCCAAGCACTGGTTACTCACGCCTGTAATCCTGGTTATCGGGAGGGTGGAGATCTAAGGATCATGGCTCAAAGCCAGCCCTGGAAAGTCCATGAGACTCCTATCTCTAACTACCAAAAAGTTGAAAATGGAGCTGTGGTCGTTCAAATGGTAGAGCTCTAGAACTGAGCAAAAAAGCTCAGGAACAAAACCTGAGAAATAGCACCGAGGAGCTGAGTTCAAGCCCCAGGACCAGCACTAAGAAAAAGAATTTGTACACATCACACTCTGGCAGGAATATGGGTTGCACATCTTGAGAGATACTGACAGCGAAAACTGCATTTTACAAACATTGTCCCAACCCCGCTCTAGGACGGAGAGGGAAACAGCAAGGCAAATAGCTTATTTCTATCTTTGTTTTGACTTGAAGATTTCCAATGTCTGAAATGCTCTTTTTTGTGTATGTGCTAGTACTGAGAATTGGACTCACGGCTGTCTTCAACTCTTGACTTCAAGTCTCTTGTCTCCTAAAAGCTAGGACCACAGGCATACACTACCATGCTCACCTATACATACTGACTAAACTAAGACTAAAATGAGAAATAAAAGGATCGAGAACTCCCAGTGCTGGTAAGAATGTAAAGTCACTCTCCCCACCCATTTTCTTTTCCTTATATACCTCTGACATGAGTTTAAATTCATACATCTTTTTTGGAAGACCACTTGGTGAGCTATTTTGAAGTTTAAAATGCACCTGGTTCTTTGAGGTGCACGGTCAGCCTTTGGAACTGGCAGCCCCAGAGCAGAGAGGTCCTCGTGTGAGAGGATGTGTGTTCTGGCCTTACTTCTACAATGAGCCAGGACTTGTCCCCAGAGGGCGAGGGCCCAGCTGCCTGGGGCCCAGGCCGAGGGAGAGACAGCAGGACACAGACAGCAACACTTTCTGCTTGCACTGCTAGGTAACAAAGGCTAGGGAAATGACTGGATGATCAAAACCACGAAGGTACACAGATACACACACAGGCCCACACGTACCTATGTCAACAATGTAAATGGAACTGGGTAACCACCATGTAGGTGTGGTGTTTATTGCTCTTCTAGCACAGCATTTGCAGTCAGGCCCAGAGGTTAACTGGAGTTTACTAGTAAAAACCCCAGGTCTAGAATCCATCTATCCCATCCGTGATTCAAAACATAAAAACAGCTGGGTGCCAGTGGCTCACAACTGTCATCCTAGCCACTTAGGAGGCTGAGATCTGAAGATCGAGGTTTTAAAGCCAGCCTAGGCAGAAAAGTCCATGAGACTTTTTTTTTTTGTCGGTTGTGGGGCATGAGCTCTGGGCCTCAGCTCTTCAGTTCAAGGCGAGCGCTCTACCACTTGAGCTACAGTGCCACTTCCGGTTTTCTGGTGGTTTATTAGAGATAGGAGTCTCACGGTCTCTCCTGGCCAGGCTGGCTTTGAACCGCGATCCTCAGATCTCAGCCTCCTGAGTAGCTAGATTACAGGCGTGAGCCACCAGCGCCCAGCAGTCCATGAGACTTTTATCTCCAGTTTAACAACTAAAACTCTAGAAATGGAGCTATGGGTCAAATGGTAGAGCACCATCCTTGAGTGAAAAAGCTAAGGGATAGCATCTAGGCCCGAATTCAAGCCTGTGCACCAGCACTAAAAAAAGGAAAGAAAGAAGGAAGGAAGGAAGGGAGGGAGGAAGAGAGGAATGGAGGGAGGGAGGGAGAGAGAGGGAGGGAGGGAGGGAGGGAGGGAGGGAGGGAAGGAGGGAGGGAGGCAGGCAGGCCAATTCCTGTGTACATTATCTGTAAACAAAGATACAGACGCATTGAAACCAGTGTGTGGAGTGGAGCTCTGCTAGGTGCGCTGCAGGTGGGAGCAGAGCGCTCCGGATTGCTCAGCTGCTTCTTAGGTGTAGCCCCCACACTCACAATCTCCCACAAAGCACACTCAGGCTTCTAGAAACGGGCTGGGAAGGCTCACATGCGCGCATAAGCTCGTAGACCTTCTCGGGGCAGCCTTCGGGGCGCTCCATGCGGTAGTCTTTCTCCAGCAGCTCGTACACCTGGGACAGGTCAATTCCCGGGTAAGGTGACATGCCGTACGTAGCAATTTCCCAAAGCAAGACTCCAAATGCTAAAAGAAAAGGAAAAAAAAAAGTGCTCAAGACACAGGTCACGTCTCACCCTGGCCGCGGTGCCAGGCTGCAGGGGCTGAATCTGGGAGGTGGTCCTGTCACCATAGTACAACCTGCCCAGCACAGAACAGGATGCAATGAGACCTGGGGTCCCTTACAGCTGAGGCATGGAGGCCAGCAGGTCTCCCCTCTAGGAAAGAGTTCATCTGGGGGCCGTGAGGTGGACAGCCCGAGGCTGGAAGTCAGGCTCTGTGGACAGCTCTCTGTGTGCCTGTATCAGGCCACTACCTCTCATTTTTGGGTCTCCAGGATTATTTCAAGCCTCCTCCAATTCTCATTTCATAAATGACTTATGAAATCTTTGGAAGGTTTGAAATTCCACTCCACACAAATGGAACCAGGCATCATTGGAGAAAAGCAGGTGGTTCGGGTCGGGAGTAGGGCAGACAGAGTGGAGGTTGTGGGGGGAGGAGGGACTACAGGGCAGGGCCAAAGGAAGGGAGCTGCGTTCCCATCAAGCGGTGGTGAGACGGGGCGGGGATCAACAAGGAGCACCACCGCAGCCAACTGAAACACACGAGCCAGTTAAACCCAAAGTTCATAATCATAGCACAAGACCACTCATTCTGAAAAGTGGTTAGAGACCAACTCGTCACTAAGTGAGGTGGTGGATGGAGGTAAGGTGCTCACACGTAGCTGCTATGCGCCTGTGCAAACAGTATGCACATTTGTGCAAAGAAAACAGCAGATGAGGGGCAGCTTCTTCATCAAAGTATACTGCTAACCAATGAGTGAGTGCAAAAAAATATACATCACAAGATACATACAAGATGTATCTGTAGGCCTCGGCGCAGGCCCCTCCCTCTGACAGTGAGAGAAAGCTCCCCAGACCTCGCCTTCCATTTTCTAGGGGTTTACTGTTGGTAGCCACACCATGGAGACATGATGGTGAAGTCCGAATGGAGGAAACTGGGGGGCTGTGAGTTTTTCTTCAATACACAGTGGGAAATACAGACACGGGGGAATTTAGGACAGAAAGGCTTCAGGCTTAAGGGCAAGATGAACTAACACAATGTTGTGAACCATACTTGGTTCAGGTCAAACTGTAAAAAGAGGTTTGACTTTTATGATTCAATTCCAAGTGGAGAGACACCAGACATTTTGAAATATTCAGAATTACTGTCAAGTTTGGGGTAGCATTATGGTTACAACAATGAGACATCTGTAAGAAACTAATACTGAAATAATTCTGTGAAAGGTAATAATAATTTCTGGGCTCCCCCCACCAAAAAATAATGAGCATCAGGAAGTAGGTGAGCACAGAGGGCCCAACATCACCATGAAGCAGTTTTCTAATGACTGGGTGGTGGGGACAAGGGGGCTCAGTATGGAACTGTCTTTTTTTTTAATTTTGGCCAGGGGAGGGGGGGGGTTGTGGGGCTTGAACTCTGGGTCTGGGCGCTGTCCCTGAGCTTTTTCGCTCAACTAGCACTCTACCACTTTAAGCCATAGCACCACTTCAGTTTTCTGGTGGTTCATTGGAAATAAGAGTCTCATGGACTTTCCTGTCCTGGCTGGCTTTGAACGGCGATCCTTAGATCTCAGCCTCCAGAGTAGCTAGGATGTCAGGTGTGAACCACCAAGTGCCCAGCCTGAACTATCTTCTTCAGCATATGCTTTAGTTTGCCATTTAAACCAAACAGAGCTGGGCACTGGGGGCTCACATACTCGGGAGGCTGAGATCTGAGGACTGGGTTTTGAAGCCAGCGAAGGCAGAAAAGTCTGTGAGACTCCAACTAATGACCCAAAAGTCAGTAGTGGGAGCTGTGGCTCAAGTGGCACAGTGCTAACCTTGAGCAAAAACAGCCCAGGGAGCCAGGCACTGGTGGCTCAAGCCAAGAAATGGAAGTACCCTACTAGCCTTGAGTGAAAAAGCTCAGGGACAGTGCTCAGGCCTCAGTTCAAGCCCCATGACCGACAAACAGGTCAGGGACAGCACCACGGCCCTGAGTTCAAACCCCAGGACTGGCACACATACACACAAAAACCAAACAAACCTGTGGCTCCCTGCACCTAGCTGAAAGATCAGCTAGCTGCCCTGGTAAATCTAAGCAACACAATTGAAAGGAAGACATGTATTAAAATAAGGAAGTTACTATAGATCATTTAGAAAAAAAAAAAAGCCTACTCAATGGGTATTTCATTTTGGAGAGAAAATGGAAGGTGAGACCTTAAAATGAGAAAGCACAGCAATAGGAAAGAGGATGAAGCCAGAAGGGCAGAAGAGCGCAGCGAAAGGCTGGGAGAGGGGAAGCAGTGCCGCGGGGCCCCGGAGGCCCTTACCCCACACGTCCGACTTGATGGAGAACTTGTTGTAGGCCAGGCTCTCGGGTGCGGTCCACTTGATGGGGAACTTGGCTCCAGCGTGGGCTGTGTAGGTGTCCCCTGTCATTAACCTGCTCAGGCCGAAATCAGCCACTTTCACCAAGTGGTTTTCCCCTACCAGGCAGTTTCGGGCAGCAAGATCTCTGAGAAAGCAAACGGTTCATCAGTGAGCACGCTTGGTGAGCACCATGGTGAGCACGCCTGGCAAACTTCCCAGCTTCGCAGACTCTCCAGCATGCAGTGTGGGTACAATGACACTGGGAAACCCAAGCCTGGCCCAGGCGGTGCTTTGGCCCACCGGAGAGCAGTGCCAGCCCTCTGGCACACACCCTGAGCTGCCACCACGGGAGCCCCCGCGACCTGGATCAATTTAGTGACTCTGACACTCAGTCACCTCATCCGTAAAATGAAGATAATAAGAGGCCCATCTCCGGCCTGCCGGGTACCAGCAGATTAGCATGCCAACCTGGCATTTATGAGCTCAAGTGCCACACGGGGCCAGACAGTGGGGACAGACTTAGCCTAGCCCTCAACTGCAAGAAACTCTGGTCTCATCCATCCTGGCAGATTTCACAGGACAGGCGTTGTTTCCCCATGTGCCTGACTTCCCTCTTTCTTCTTGATGCTTACCATTCTATCCTAGAACTCCCCCCTCCCCCGCCGATAATCCATCCGCCTCCTCTCCTTGCCTGCTTCTCCCCAGGAGGCAGGCAGGTGTCTAATCTTTGGTTCATGGATGTTAACCATGAAATCACAAGGCAAACTGGAAGGCAAGGAGAGGAGGTGGCAGCTTAAGTGATGGCTGCATGAGGAAGCCTGGGCACTGGCAGTGAGAGGAATTAAACGCAGAAGCGTTGTGGCTGATAGGATTGTTGGTAAAGCGCTTTCCGTTTGCCTGAACGGGAGGGAACGGAGCTAGCCATGCAAAGCAGAGCTGAAGTCAGGAAATCTCAATTTGTAGCGTCAGAGGGCTGGCTCATCACTGCGCTGAGTGACGGGAACAGCTGGCGTGGGCTCTGCCTCCCGAGGAGCCGCCAGCGCGTCACACGCGCTCGTCTCGTTCCTGGCTAGGAAATCTCATGTAGAGCTTTCACACTTGAGTTAATTGGTAGGAAAGGTCACGGCAGTGGCGTGGAGAACGTCTTGCATTAGAGAGGCCAGTGAAGTCGACGAGGCTCTGCCCGCACAGGCCAGCACTGCTAGGAAGCCACTTCCACCAGCAAAGCATGCAAAGACCAAGATAATTGTGGCACGCCTGAAGGTCAACACGCTCGAGGCTTGACAAAACAGCGAAGACGTTTCATTTAGGTCAGCACACGCACAGTGCTGATGACTAAGCACCATCCCGGAGCTCGGTGACAGCAAGTTAAATGGACAGTGAAACAGTAATAGAGAAGGGAGGGAAAACACAGACTTCATTCCCTGGCTTTCAGGGGAGAATTTGTGTAAAAGCCATGTGAATGCAACGGGCAGGAGTCCTTACCAAGGAGCACTGGGGTTATTCCAAGTACACCTTTTCTGAACTCCATTTAGTATTCCACAGAGTCCAAAACGGGTACAAGTGAAGAACTTCTTACCCCAGGACCGGCTGCTTCCGTGTCCCGGCCCTGGCCCAGCACTTAGGCCCGGCAGCTGCTTGAAGCAGTCATGGGAGGCGCCTAGCACATGCCTTCGGTCCACGGGCCAATGGACTGGCAGCACTGACATCAGAGGCTGAGAGCTGGACCTTGACCGGAGCCAGGGCTTCAGACCCAGGCCGCCGCCTCACAGAGAGGCCCAGGAGAGAGTCCTACCTGTGGATGAAGTTCTTCTTCTCCAGGTACTCCATGGCGGAGGAGATCTGAGTGGCCATGTAGAGCAGAACCACTGCGCTCACCTCCTGCCGGTTACACTCGCGCAGATAGTCCAGCAGGTTCCCGTAGGTCATGAACTCAGTGATGATGTAGAACGGGGGCTCCCGGGTGCAGACCCCTGTCAACAGCACAAGCAAGAAAAGGGCTGACACCCAAGGAAGAGGCTTCCAAACGGAGCTGGTTCTGCCCCAGGGCCTGTGCCTGCTTCCAATAGCCCTGCCGGTGGCGGGACACAGCCACGCTCTCCCCCGCTTCCTTGGAGCCCATGAACCTGACCTTACACAGAGAGACTGCCACTGAGTCCAGACAGGCCGCACGGCCCATGCCCTAACTAAGCCCTGCTCAACAGCCACTCTGGTGAAAATACCCCTGACCACTAAGCCTCAGGAGCCATTCTGAGGTTTGTGTCTGAGAAGGTAGGAACTCTCTCTTACCCCACCTCCTTGTTCAGGAGCCCCGTGCACACGTGAGGACCTGGTCAGGTCGTGTCCTCCACAGGTGCAGGTCCCCCTCATGTGTGGAAGCTACACTTAGCTTAGCAACTTGTAAGTAAACACATTGGTGGTATGCAAGTGTTTACAAATGTATTCACAGAAATATGGTAGATTCAAGGGAGAAATCAGTGTCATTCCTTAGAAAGGCAAAGTCAAAGCTGAACAAAATTAACACCAGGAAGTGGGTACTTGAAAGGGGTGGGATGGGGTCCAGGGGACAGGGGCAGATGAATGAAACGGAGGGGGGGGGGGGATGCAGACAAGAATTGAATGTATATCCTACAAAATTAAGAAGAGTGAGGAAGCGGGGGGGAGGTAGGGGAGGGGTGGGAGAGAAGATGTTGAAAGAGGCGACATTGATCAAGAGGCATTATATTCACAAACCACTGTTAAACGGCAACTCCTTTGGACAACTACTTCAGTAATATTTCAAAAAGCGGCGCCCTCAGAGCCGCACACTCCTCACCCAGCAGCTGCACCAGATTGGGGTGCTTGATCTCCTTCATGACCGCAGCCTCCTTCAGGAACTCTTCCACTTCCATGGTGTCCTCCTGCAGAAGCAACAGGAGCTGCTGAAACTCTGTCTGCCTGCGGACACAGGCTGAGCACCCGCGTCCACGCAGCCCGCCTGTCCCCTCTGCCGCCACAGCCACCATGCTGTGGACATCACGGTGCTTTGTGCCATCATGGTGGCACAAAGACTGTGCCTTTTCTGGCAGCACTTCTGCTTCTCGGCCTGGGCACCTGTTGGCGCTAGGTGGCACGGGTGGGCGGCTGTCATGCAGATTCCATTCACCTCCTCAGCTTTTGGAGGTTCTGAGTTCCATTTCCCCATGGAATGTCTGCTTTCCAGGGCTTAATGCCAACCCAAACCACGTGAGGAATCTCCAGAGCACCTCCCTTAGAAGGGTCCCTACATTACACAAAGAGCACCATCACCCCGTTCTTATCGTCACCCCGATTCTACCATGGCCCTCACGAGTGGCAGTGACCACTTTGCAGGCGGCGTTCCAGAGGCTCTACGCTACGGGTCCTCACCGTCGGGATGCCCGGGGCTTGGTGGACGCCTACATGGACGTGTTACATGTGCACAGGCCTCGCTCACTTCTGGTCCAAGGTCTGGAGTGCCATGGCCCTGGGCTACAGTGGACAGCGGACACTGTCCACTGAGCTGGCCCTCATGACAGGGGCAGACAGTTAACAGGCTTTGCTCGGTGGTGAGAGCCAGGTCTAAGGGCAGAGGAGGCAGTGGGCGGGCTGCCTCGGGGGTCGGCAAGGAGTCTGCGTGTCAAGGCAGATGGGGCGCGGGGAAGGCTAGCACACCTTAGCTTCTATGCGGACCCTTCTTCATTCCTTTAGGACACAAAGCGCTGTCCTATGGGACAGGGCAGTGGCCAGCCCAGGTCCTTGGTGGTGGACGGGACAACCTCTCCTTAGTATGTTCCTGCTTTGGTCAGCCATGTTTACAAGCCAGGCACACGACTAATGTTAAAACGGCAGGCCAGCTGTTCTTAATGTCCATGCCCCCCCCCATTGCCGGTGGTCAGTATGCCAGGGCAGGAGGGCAGGGTGGATGGCGTCTCAGCTCCATGTCCCCACCACTGTCCTCTTCCAGTGCCCTCTGCCCCTGGGTGAGCTCACCGGCGCTGGCTCTGGTGTTCGTGGTGGAAGCCCAATGGCCGAGGCAGGAGCAGTGCCTGCCACATGGGGGCCCTGCGGGCCGAGCCCATGCAGGGCAGGGCCTCGCCAGCCTCCGGGGCCAGTGGGATGTGCCCACATGATCCAGAGAAGCCGGCGAGACCAGGGAGAAGCGCTCTGAAAGCACAGGGTGACAAACCACGCGGAGACGCAGTTCACGCACGCATGTGCTGTGGGCGCTTTACCACAAGACCCAGCAGACATCAGAGGGAAGAGCCTGGCTCCAAAGTCACCCCCCTCCCACCCCCCACCTGTCTGTCTGTCTGTCTGTCTCTCTCTCAGAAGCTGCAGTAATTCTTTGAGTTTCTTCTTTCAGCAAAAATCCAGTGTGGATTTGTCTCCCTCTGCTGGAATCAGGCAGCTCACTTTACCATCTGAACTACCAACAGCCAGCCAGGTGTGTGGCGTTGTTACATGGACATAAACATACAATGCCCCATGATGTTCTTTTGCTTTTATGTTTCAATTTTTCATCATCCCAGGCTGGGAAGGTGGCTCAGTGGCAAAGTGCATGCCTCGCATACATGAGGCCCTGGGTTCGATTCCTCAGAACCACATACACAGAAAAAAAAAAAATGGAAGTGGACCTGAGTTCAAGTCCCAGGACTGGTTAAAAAAAAAACAAAAACACACAGATGAACAAACCAACACAGAGAGAGAATTCATCCATTACACAGTAAAGCAGAAGCTGCTGCTGGCCTCTTCACGAGTGGAGAGCCCAGCAGAAGTCACCTCCCTCGGGAGTCCTGAAGAGCGTGCCTATGCGAGGGTTCAGGCGGCTCAGCAGTAGTGACCTGGGCGACAGCACGCCTCGCTCAGGGAGAGCTGTATGTGACCCTCCTCGTAAAGCAGGCCACTGCGCGTGTGACTGCCAGCTACCAGTGTGGTCACGGAACCCCTTCTTTTTTGGTTGTCCTTGGAGTTCCCCAATAAAACCAATTTCCACAGGGAAAAACTAAACCCAGAGATACCATGCCACAAAGCTAACACAGGTGACATCTTCGGTCCATACACAGGGAGCAAGCCAGCAACAGCTGTCCCAAAGTCTTCTGCTGTCCAGATGTGGTTTTAACCACACATGCAGTCCTTGAGGTCGGTGGCTCACGCCTGTCATCCCAGCTCCTTAGGAGGCTGAGATCTGAGGATCAAGGTTCAAAGCCAGCCCAGGCAGAAAAGTCTGTGAGACTCTTATCCCCAATTAATCACCAAAAATCTGGACGTGGAGCTGTAGCTCAGGTGGTAGAGTGCCAGCCTTGAGTGAAGAACTTTGGGGACAGGGCCCAAGCCCTGACCTCAAGCCCTAGTACCAGCACAAAAACAGAACAAAACCAAACCCCAGTGCCCACCCTTATCCATGCGATTCAGGGAAGGTGAAACTGCTGGGGGCGGGAGCGCACTGCCTGTGATGAAGTTCTGTCATTTCCCACAGAACTGAAACCCGTCATCTCATGAGTCTTGTTAATGTCACAGCTGTCTTTGGGGGACAGGGGATGAAGTACAGAGTTGTGAACTGGGCCTCATGCTTGCTAAGGTGGTGTTCTACCACCTGAGTCATACCCCTAGCCCTTTTGTCAGTCCTGGGGTTTGAACTCAGGGCCTGGGCACTATCCCTGAGCTTCTTTTACTCAAGGCTAGCACTCTACCTTAAGCCACAGCTCCACTTCCAGCTTTTTCTATTTATGTGGTACTGAGGACTCGAACCCAGGTCTTCACGCATGCTAGGCAAGCACTTTACCAGTAAGCCATATTCCCAGCCCGCCTCCAGCTTTTTTTTTTTTCACTTTCAAATAGGTCTGCTTCTGCCTAGGGCCAGCTTCAGATCTTGTACCTCCTACCAACCCTGTCTGTGTAGCTGGGACCACAGGCATGCACCGCCATGCCTGCCTCCCATTCCTCTGCTCAAAGTTCAATGTGGAGTGCGCAGGGCCCTGCGGGAGGGGCGGGCAGCACTGGAGGTGCTGCCTAGGGGGCCAGCAGGACGGAGCTGGGAGGAGACAGGTGCTTGGTGAGCTTGGGGGAAGAAATGAAGCCTGGGCCAGGGCTGCTAGCATTTATTCACGGCGCTCTGCAGAGAGGGAAGTCCGTGGAGCAAGGCGGAACTGAGGCTTAAGCGTGGCTTCCACAGAGCCCAAGTCACCAACAGAGAAAAGCTGGGCTGTGGACGGCACTGTGGGCGTGCGTGGGAGCTGCGGAGCCCTGGAGCTTTCCACCCAGCAGTCTCTGCAAAACTCAGATGAAAGCACCCGTCCCCACCCCCAGCACAGCCCTGCCCCGACCACCCCGGGCATGTGTGGCACAACGCCAACCGCATCCACAGCCATCATATTCTATCTCCTCCTGCCACTCAGACGCCCCCAAGACCTGCGCTGAAAAATGGTCAGATTAATTCTTTAAGTTTTGATTTTGAAATCTCAGGGCTAAGTAGGCCCTGGCCAGCACTCTATAAATCTTCACTAAAAAAAAAAGTCTTATCTGGAAAACAGCCAGGAAATGCTCAAGGAAACCTCAACCACATCACCCTTGCCAAAGTATCGGTTGTGCCCAAATGGCCGAAAGGCAGACACACACTGAACGTCACGTCTCGATGCCACCAAAGACCAGAACATCGTTTCTGCCCTAAAGCAGCCACCTCTATGTTTGGCGCACACTTCTAGTTCCTTTTTACTGTGCCTTCAAGGGAAGGAGTCAGACAAGTGGCAAATAGTGCTGTCAGCCACACCACAACAAATCTAAGACATGCCTAAACGTGGGTCTGTGTCCTGGTGATGTGTCATGTAGTCCCTTTTTCCCCAACAGACACAAACTGCTGTGGGAACTCAATCACAAGGGCAGCAGGCAACACGGGTCAACGGCAGGGGGCACTCTCGCCACAGGGAAAGCTCGGCTCGTGCCAGGAACAACAGAGACCTGAGTGAGGATGGAAGCTTCCCTTGGCACCCTAACCGATCTGAGGGCCTCAGGAGGGTGTGCCCGCAATCCATACACACTGTTCTTTGTCCAGTCAGGGGGGAGGGCGGCTCTAGCACCTGCTCACGGAGGTCTGGCTCACGGTGTAGAGCCCCGGAGCCTGCAGCCACACCTTCACCCTGTCTTCAGATCTGCCCACAACCCCACCCCTCTCCAAACCAGGGGCCGCTGCGGTGATATCTCCTCTTTTCTGAGCTCCCAGCTTTACCTCTCCTCCTCTCTGTGCCACACACCTGGAACAAGGAACCTTCCAGTGTGACTCATCTCTCCAAAGCGCCTGCCAGCTCCCACACACGTGGAGATGGAGGTGGAGATGACCCAGCCCCAACAGATGCTGATGCCTGAGCACCGGTGAGGACGGGCGCATGCGCACCAGCGCTGGCCGGGTGCCCCGAGACCCACCTTCAAGGTCTTCACGGCCACGGTGAGGCTGTACTTCTTCCACACACCCTCGTACACCTCCCCGTACTGGCCGCCGCCCAGTTTGTGCTTCATGGTGATGTCCGTGCGCTCCATCTCCCACTTGTCATAGTTGGGGGACACGCCGTACACCGTGGGCTTGTTGCGCTTCGGGGCGGGGTAGTGGAGTGTGGTGATGAGCCCGTCCGCCACGGTGGAGTGGTGGTGAACCAGCTCCGCCAGGGTGTTGAAGCGGCTCTCCGAGGACACGTAGAGCTGTGGAGAAGAAGACCGGCCGTCACGCGGGCAGCAGCCACCAGGGCCAACACTCGACCAGCCCCGGGGCAGCCTGTTCAATGCACGCGACACCACACAGCAGCAGCTCTACCTGGACTGGCCGGCCAGTCACGTCTCTAACGTCTGAATTTTCTAGCTAAAGAAGCAAGTCACAATGAAAAGCCTCAAGGCCTTTGTACCTGCTGCTCCCTCTGCCTTCAATGCCCATACACACCCAAGCCCTGCCATGTCCAGTTCTCTCATGTCTATGAAGCCGCTGGGTGCTCGGGGGCTCATGCCTGTAATCCTACCTACTCACAGCTTGAAGCCAGCCCGGGCAGAAACTCCTTCATTCCTTGAGACTCTCCAATTAACCAGCAAAAAGCTGAAGTAGAGGTATGGCTCAAGTGATAGAGCATCAGAGAAAGCAAAGTAAGAATGCTAGGACCTGAGTTCAAACCCCAATACTGGTGTACACACACACACACACACACACACACACACACACACACACACACACACACACACACACACACACACACACACACACACACACACACACAGTCTCTGAAGTCTTCTCTATCCACCCAGTCTAAAATCATCATTGCCAGGTTAGCAGGCAATTTCCTGATTATTTGGTTAATTCCTGTCCATCTCTAGCTGGGAGAGTACAGCGTCCTGAGACATCTTTTTTAATCCTGTGGCCTCAATACTAAAAGTAAGAAATGAGCACATAACAGGTATTCAATAATCAGCTGTTGAGGCTGGGGGAGGAACGCAGTGGCGGACTGCCTACCTAGCACATTCAATGCTCAGCACTGCCCACAGCTGGGGAGTAGGTTCTATGAGTGGGAGAACTTAGTACTACTGACTTAAGACAAGAAAACGTGTGACTTTCAATGGATTAACCTAGACAGCGCCGTGAGGAGAAGGTGGCCGCGCAAGGCGGTGCGTGCCTCCCATGCACTGCTGCAGGAAGCAGGTGGGCTCTAGGACAGGAGAGCATCGAGTCTCCACGTGAGATACGTAGATCCACTGGTGGAGTGTGGAGGGCATGGCTCCCCCCCCCCCCCCCCCCCCGCCGTGCTCATCCAGACACCAGGAGGTAGGGGTGTGGCCGGAAGGACCAACACGAGCGTGGGCGGTGCCGCCCCTTCTCTGCAGCAGGGGTGGGGTGGGTGAGCACAGGCTTCCTCACAGGAAGCCGCACTAGATCCCGCACACATCTGCACTCCAGGCCCCACCCTCAAGCTCCTGGCCTGCCAACAGCAAGAAAGACTCTGTCACAACATTGCATTCACAGCCTGGCTGATGGTACAGTCCTGGGAGGAGGGTGCAGACGTGAGGCCACAGAAACCCACGGGGCGTGGGGAAGGAGGAGGAGGAGGAACGGGGCCAAGCTGACACATGGCTGACACGTGGCAAGGCCTCAGGCACAGTATTTCTAGAGTGGCGTGTACGCGGGGTGGCCAGGCAGTAGTTAGGGGGGGCCTGAGGCAAGGTCCTTACTCAGACCTGTCCCCGGCCACCACCCGCAGCTACTGCCTGCCCTTGTGACAGCCGCAGGGGGCTCTCCTGTACCTCCAAGTTCTACCCTGTTGCTGTAAACACAGCAATCCCGGCCCCGCTCTCTCCACGCGTGATGTCAGGCACCTGTGCTGCAGCCCAGACCATGCTGCTCGAATTCCCAGCCTCCCAAACACACAGCTGAATAACGTCTTCTCTTCACTATGGTAACAGAAAGCTCACGAACACAGTCACTTGATGTAAGTTCCTAACAGGAGGTAGTTTAAAGCACTTGTAAAAGGAAGTAAGCCGAGCTTGGTGGTGCACACATAGAATCCCAGCAAGAGGAAGGCTGAAGTGGGAGGATTTAGGGTTTGAGGCCAGCGTGGACTATATGTGTGTATGTGTGCATACATACATACATATATAAACAAGAAAATAAAGAGGGAAATAAGACACAAGTTGACCCATCTATGACCCACAATAGGGTAGATTTTTTTCTTTGTGCTTGGGAAGAGGACATAAACACAATTTTAAAAACTTAAACAAGGCAACAGCCAACTCTGGGTTTCTAGTGAGTCTTTGGTAACAATCCCACCCAGATCAAATTCTAAAACAACCAGAGAGGCCCCTGCGCCCTCACATGGAGACCGTGGCGCAGGGACACTGACTTGTGTACAGAGGCCTCTGCGGGATTCACCCTCAACCCCGCTGTGTGTGTGTGTGTGTGTGTGAGAGAGTGTGTGTGCCTCTCTACCAAGCCGCATGGAGAAGTCAGGCCAAGAAACCATGCCCAGAACCCACCCGCCTCTCCCACCTTGGAAATCTTGGCAGTGAGTGGTGAGCGGGCTCCTGGAGCAAGACGCACCCCCCTACCCAACCCAGGCTCGAGCGCTTTGAGCCCCGGCTCACCGGCATCTGTTCTGGCCTCCCTCAGCTGGGCGAGCGGCCAGCCAGAGTCACAGGGAGGATCGCAGCCCAGGCAAACTTCAACTTTGTCAATGACTTAGTTTACAGGCCCCGGGTCTGCATTCATCCTTCAAAACTTTACAGACCACCATGCACGAAATAGTCCCTCCCCCTTCCTTGAGCAGGCAGTGTCCCACTGTCCTGCCTGCAGCCCACGCGGGTGCTTTCTCCCAGCTGGGGCTGGGTTTGGAGCAGCATCCTGCAGGTGAACTGGCTCATCAGGACTGGGAGGCATGTGCAGAGAACGGCACGTCCTTAGGACACACACACAGAGCTGTAAACACTAGGGTACTCAGCCAGTCATGCATGAACCCCAAAGACAAGTGTTGTCAAAGAAATCCTCAGCACTAGGCACTGGTGGCTCACACCTGTAATCCTAGCTACTCGGGAGGCTGAGAACTGAGGATCACAGTTCAAAGCCAGCATGGGCAGGAAAGGCCGTGAGACTCTTATCTCCAGTAAATCACTCAGAAAACCAGAAGTGGTGCTGTGGCTCAAGTGGCAGAGCACTCGCCTTGAGCTGAAGAGCTGAGGGTCAGCGCCCAGGCCCAGAGTTCAAGCCTCACGACCGACAAAAAAAGAAACCCCAGCACTGGCCCTCCCCCTGACCATGCACGCAAAGGCAGAGCGGGCTCAGACTTGTGCAGCCTCTGCAGATGGGGTCCCGCCTTGGCCATGAGCCTTCACACGGAGGCAAGAGGCAGCGAGTGAGCGTGTTCCCAGGCTGCCCGCGTGCGCACCCGCATCCCGCAGGCAGCCGAGCCCCAGCGAGCCCACAGGCTGTGCAGCTGGCCCTTTCTGCCACCTCTCCAAACCCGAGCCCTGCTCCGTGTCTCGCCAGTCCGAACCCTTCTTGCACCTGGGAATGACGTGCGCTGCATAGCACGTGGCCGCACAGGAGGGCGAGACGCCAAGAACTGGGGGCGCGTTAGGCGGGGGTGCCAGGAACAGCAGCGGGGGCACACGCCTGAGAAAGCACAGGAGGGGCGCCACGTCCTGCGAGCCTGCCAGAAGCAGCGGCAGCTCGCTCCAGCTTGGCCCTGTCAGGAGACCAGCTCAAAGCCCACAGCTGTAAGCCCTTGGGCTGGCTGACTTGGCCACAAGTGGGGCTAGAAAGTTCGGAACACAAGGGGAAAGACCAATGAGAGGCAGGAGAGCGAGGGAAGGGGTGAGGGTGGGAGCAGGTGAAATCTGGGGGGCCCACCGTCTGCTACATTCACTCGTCTAAAGTGGAGCTGATGTGAAAACAAGAACTGAGCCTCTTCAATCCCAGCCAGTCCTTCTTGTAGTCTTAAATGTTATCCTTCCGATCATCCTGAGCTCCGTGGGACGCGTCCTTCAGCGCCGGGCCCATGCCATGCCCACCCGGGCACCAGGCTCCCATGGAAACAGGTTCCCATAGCATGAAGGACTGCCCCCCCCCCCCAGGGACGGCTGCTTTGCAGAGTGGGGCGGACGAGGGAGAGCCCCATGGGAGGGCTGCCTGCTGCTCCTCAGCTGTGTGACCCACGCATCCCACACGAAGGTGCTGCCCCCTCAGCAGCATGCTTCAGACCAACTAATGAGCTGTTCAACTGGATCATGCCCGCCTGCATCTGTTTGGAGGCTGCTGACTGAACTCCCGGGACAACACCATTATCCTGCCCAGCGCCACCGCCCCCCCCCCCCGCCCCCCATCGCCCGCCGGGGATCCCTGGATCAAGGGAGCAGGTGGAGAAGCAGCTGTCCACTTGCTGCCCAGGAGCCCTGCGCCCATGTTCTCACTTATGATCAAGGCAGCACTCTCAGAGCCTGTCTACAATGCGAAGACCCCGCGGTAGCTCTGGGAGAACATGGACTGAGTGGGGGAGGTCCTCTAGTTCCCCCTCCACCCCAGAGCAGTGCCAAAGCTGCCAAAAAGCCACACAGACACTGGCAAGAGGGCTTGAAGCAAAGACGTGAGGAAGGGAAGCGACACTGAAAGAAAGACATGGCACGGGTCAGGGCGCAGGGCACTGGGAAAGGCTACAGAGTAAGAAGGGGACTGGCTGCCACCTTTCAAGCTTGGTCCTGGCCTAGGGACAGAGGTCTTGGAAGGGAGTAAGAGGATCAATAGACCCAGGGACGTAGGTGACTTGGACATATCTCTCTCTCTCCCTCTCCCCCTCCAACCCCCCCCCTTCTCACCAGTCCTGGGGCTTGAGCTCTCAGGGCCTGCACACTGTCACTGAACCTCTCTGTGCTCATGGCTAGCACTCTCCCACTTGAACCACAGCACCACTTCTGGCCTTTTCTGTGTATGTGGAACTGAGGAATTGAACCCAGGGCTTCATGCATGCTAGGCAGGCACTCTACCACTGAGCCACCTTCCCAGCCTGGGTGTATTTCTTTCTTTCTTCTTCTTTTTTTTTTTTTTTTTGGGTCCGGTCCTGGGGCCTGAACTCTGGGCCTGGGGCTGTCCCTCAGCTCTTCAGCTCAAGGCTAGTGCTCTACCACTTGAGCAATAGTGCCACTTCTGGCTTTTTCCTTTTTGCTTATGTGGTACTGAGGAATCGAACCCAGGGCCTCAGGTATGCAAGGCAAGCGCTCTACCACTGAGCCACCCCCCCAGCTCCCTGGGCATATTTCTATCTGAAGAAAAAGGAGAAATGGATTGGATGGGCTAAGGGTGATCCCTGCGTGGCTATGATGAGGTCGGTAGGCTGGTGGTGCGGAGAGGGGCACAGGCAGGTGAGAACCAATCAATGCATCGTCTACAGTGTGATTTGGCAACATCTACACATTTTTTTCTTTTGGCAGCACTGAGGTTTGAACCCAGGCCCTTGAGCTTGCCAGGGCTGGTTCTTTACCACTTGAGCCACGCATGCCTCCAGCCCTTTTTTTGCTTATGTTATTTTTTTAGTGGGGTCTTACATTTATGCCCAGGTCAGCCTGGACTGCTTCCTGCACAGCCGGACAATACACGTGTACCAACATACTCAGCTTTTTACTGGTTAAGATGGGAATCTCAAGAACTTTGTCCAGACAGCCTTGAACTACAATCCTCTTGATCTCTGCCTCCTGAACTGCTAAAATGACAGGCACGAGCTGCTACATCTTCAAAATTCTAAATGTGCAGAGCCTCAGATCAGCTCTAGTAATGTATCTTGCATACATTTACACTGTATTTACATTAACAAAGAGGTAGAAATGTGTAGTTCAAACTAGAGGGCAGGAGCTACTAGCGGGTTTATGACATAGCACATTATGACTTTGAAAAACTGAAACAGAATAGGATGGAGTCTACAGTAAGGTGAAGTGCTGGTTCAGGCAGGTAAGGAACGACTCGTGGAAGTCTGGCCCTTGTCTGTGTAAGTAATGGGTGGTGAAGTAAAATGTGGTTCTGCAGTGGCTTCAGAATTTTTTTTTAAGTTTGGAGGACCCTTATAATAGCATTATTTGTAGTAACAGTATTGTTTGTAATAACAGCGTTGTTTGTTTAGATTGAAGCCGCGCCATCGAGCAGGAGGAATGCTGGGAAGAGTGACTCCAATCAAACAGAACAGGACACATAACTGGAGATGTTCATTTGTAGCCCCTTTGCACAAATAATAAAAAAAAAGATGCCCATCTATGGCCACAAGCATGAACAGGAGGAGGCAGGTGTAATGCTATACATACACTCCCCAAACACTATCAGGTGGGGAAGGAGGAGCAGGCCAGTGGGGAGTGTGTCGGCCCAGCCTCTGTGAAGATAGATACACACACACACACACACACACACACACACACACACACATACACACACACACACACACACACACACACACACACAGCCACGCCAGCGTGGGAGGCACTGCTCATAGGGGCTGTGGCTGGGCAGAACTGACTTAAAAAACAATAGCTTTTCACTAGGATTCATTTTGTCCAATGATAGTTTTTAAACTAAATGTATTACTACAGATTCTTTTTTAAAAAAAATTTTATGTTTTGGTTCTGGTCCTCGGGCTTGAACTTGGCCTGGCACTGTCCCTTAGCTGTTCTGCTCAAGGTTAGTACACTACCACTTGAGCCACAAGCTCCACTTTCAGCTTTTCTGGTGATTATTTGAAGAGTCTCACAGACTTTCTTTCCCTGGGCTAGCTTTCAACCTCGATTCTCAGATCTCAGCCTCCAGAGTAGCCAGTATTACAGGCGTCAGCCATCAGCACCTGGCAACATCTTATTTCTTAAGCTGCCTTACTGCCTGGGCCTTCCTGACAATCCGGGCGTTGCCCACTGCCTGGCCCAGCCAGGTGTGGAGGAGCCCCGGGTGGAATCCCAGGCTGCTTTACCCGCTAAGCTTCCCTTCGTAACACAGAAAGGCAGACTCCACCAGTGCCTCTGCAGGGGACCCAGGCGAGGTTTAGAGATGGACTACAAGGTGCTGTGGCACCCACCTGTAGCTGAGACTCAGGACACATGGATTCCTCCCCTTTGCTGACTCATACAGACTGTCTGTATAAAGACTTTTAAAAAGCACATTTACCAACTCCTTTACAAAAATGCAATGGGAAATCCTAAGTGTACCAGTGTCACATGGTACCACTTTAATCAAAACTTGTGTGCATGTGTACACACACACAAATTATATCTGTAGGAAGAAGGCTATAGGCTAGACCTAATGGCTTGTTTTTGAACTTTTTTCTCATTGAGGATGAATTACTATCAGAGATTTCTTTCTGTTTTTTTTTTTTAAATCCCACATGGGGCTTGAACTCTGGGCCTGGGCGCTGTCCCTCAGCTCTTCAGCTCAAGCCAAGTGCTCTACCACCTGAGCCACAGCGCCACTTCTGGTTTTCGGGGTGGTTTATTGGAGATAAGAGTCTCACAAACTAGGGCTGGGAAGGTGGCTCAGTGGTAGAGCACTTGCCTTGCATGCGTGAGGCCCTGGGTTCGATTCCTCAGCACCACATAAGCAAAAAGAAAAAAGCCAGAAGTGGAGCTGTGGCTCAAGTGGTAGAGCACTAGCCTTGAGCAGAAGAGCTGAGGGACAGCGCCCAGGCCCAGAGTTCAGGCCCCACGACCGGACCCAAAAAAAAAAAAAAAAAAAAGAGTCTCATGAACTTTCCTGCACAGGATGGCTTTGAACTGCCATCCTCAGATCTCAGCCTCCTGAGTAGCTAGGACGACAGGTGTGAGCCATCAACACCTGGCTCAGAGATTTAAGAAAGAACAGTCTTCAAAGGGTGAACAAATGCAGCTGTGGTACTCACTAGATACTACATTGAAAATGAATTATATTAACTTGTGGGTAGGGATGGGAGGAAAAAACAGAGAGGGAAGGGGTAACACTGTCCAAAAGGAAATGTACTCTTTACCTGACTTATGTGACTGTAACCCCTCTGTACCTCACCTTTATAATAACAATAGTAGGTAAATAAACAAATACGTAAGTCTTAGTGTAAGAAGTGTGTCTAAAACCAACAAAGGTTCCTGCTCCTCAATCAAGGCCTACCAGAGGGCAGTGGAATGACCTATCCGCTGGGCAGCAGGACAGACGACCCGGCTGTCCTGGCCGCCCCCACCCATCGGCTCCCCACCTTGCCATCAGAAGCAGTGTTGATCCTGTAGTGGTACACCCTCCCTTCGTATCTCAGCGAGATGGACCGCTGGCCAGGACTGCTCTCGCTTTCCCGCACCAGGAAGCTGCCGTTGATCCCGCTGCTCAGCAGATACTCGGCAGCGTTGCGGGACACGGGCCCGTGGTACCAGGAGTGCTTCTCCAGGCTGTTGACTGGGGTGATGTAGTTGCTGGGGACCCATCCTTGACCATTTTTGGTTTGGGCTTCACACCATTCCCCATTGTGATTGTAGCCTAGGACCCGGAGCTTTTCACCTGAGCAGAAAAGAACCCAATTGGACACATCAGCTTTGAAGCCAGCTTCCTTCCTTCTCGTTTGCTCCTGTGTGATTACTAACCATCTCCAAATTCCCCAGTCCAGTGTCCTTTGCCCAAGTGGACATAAATACACACATTTAAATGCACACATTTACAAGCGTCCAAGAACGCATGCTCACTCCCACACGGGACTTCCTGTTTGTGCTGAGTGTCCGGATGAGGGGGAAGCCTCAGGTTTGTAGTCTATTATGTCTGGGGCGGGGGGGTGGGGGGGTGGGGAGGTGTGGGGGGAGAGGGAAGCGGCTTTCTCAGGAAGACAAGTCTGTCTCCTGCATTAGGTCTGGGTTTCCTCTGCAGCTGAACATGGCAAGCTGGTGTGTAAGGGACTGCTGCACAGATGCTTTCTCAGTGTTTCTGCATTCCAAACTGTAAAGCTGCTCTCTCAGTGGGCAGAGGGAAGCCCACTCCCCAGCTTCTGTCTTTGGCGACTCCCCCACATTCCCTTTACCTTTGGTTATGCTTAGAGTGTTATCTCCACTGGCCACAAAATCATACAGTGCCACGAAAAGGTTGGGGTCATTTTCGCTGGGCCCCGCAAGAAGGTTTTCCTTGGAGTTCCAGCGTGCAGCTTCGCTCAGGCCTTGAGGCTCAAAGTCAGATGCTACTGGCCGCTGGAGGGCTTCTAGAAGACAAGGAAAGAACATGATGATGAAAAGGGAAGAACTGAGTAGACTTCAGTTGCCCTTTCAGGAGCAAAGGAAGGTTGTTTGCAAGAGTATATATTCCTAAGTAATTTCATTTGACATCTGCGTGTCAGAAAGGGGTTTTGCTTTTGAAGGGTTCTACCACATCTTGCGGGACACACTGAGCATTTTCAGTCTCAGGTAGTAACTACTGTTTCCAGATGGTGTAAGCTTTTTTAGGTCATTCATCTAACATGGATTTAATCAGAAATGGGCAATGCCCATCTTCAAATGTCTTTTGCTATTGCTTAAAATACAGAACAGAAGCTGGGTGTGGGTGGTTCATGCCTGTAATCCTAGCAACTCTGGAGGCTGAGATCTGAGGGTCGTGGTTTGAAGTCAGCCTAGACAGGACAAATCTGTGAGATTCTTATCCTTAATAAACTATGGCAGGTGCGGAGGGAAGGCCAGAAGTGGAGCTGTGACTCAAGTGGCAGAATGCTAATCTTGAGCACAAAGCTCAAGGACAGCACACCCAGGCTCTGAGTTCAAATCGTGCAACTAGAACAAAAAACAAAAACAAAACCAGCCCAAATGTCTTGTTTTGTAACACTTAGATGTACAGTGTAGCGTTGGGCTCGTAAGGAGTCAGTGTGGCACTGGCACCCCAGCCTTCTCAGAAAGAACATGGGGATCATCTTCCCTCTAGGTACCTACTGGTCCCTGGCCTTGATGAACTCTCCTACTGCCCTGCTCATCCCTACTGGGCCACAGCTGGCTGGGACACCGGTCCTCCCCTTGCTGACATCCTCCCCTCCCTACCAGCTTTCTGCCTCCACTGCCCACTCTTCTGAGGTCATCCTTACACTGTTTACTGTGGAGATCATTAACAGCCTCTTCTATTCTGGAATAAAAGTCTCCCATGCTGTGCCTAGAGGTAGATTCCAGCTGGACATTACCAGTAGCTCTGATGTCAGGTGTCCATGAGCAACGTTCACTAAGGGGTCAATTAATTCACTACTTTGTCCCTGAAGTTCCCTCCTTTCTTGGATTGTGCTTAGGAGCACTGGTGAAACGAAGGGATTCAGAAGGGCTCTTCCCAACCGGCCAATCTGCCCTAACCTGTATGGCAACTGAGGTGCATTATGAAGTAAACCCAAACACCGTTTAAAGAAACTACAATAACTGCTGGGCACTGATGGCTCACGCCTGTAATCCTAGCTACTCAGAAGGCTGAGATCTGAGGATCGCGGTTCAAAGCCAGCCCGGGCAGGAAATGTCTGTGAGACTCTTATCTCCAATAAACCATTCAGAAAACTGGAAGTGGCGCTGTGGCTCAAGTGGTAGAATGCTAGCCTTGAGCTGAAGAGCTGAGGGACAGCGCCCAGGCCCAGAGTTCAAGTCCTACAACCATCAAAAAAAAAAAAAAAAGGCATGTGTATGTGTTCTGATTTTCCTCTGTGTGGATTTTGAGGGCCCCAGACTTTTTCCCCTGAGGACCACCACCCATCTTGGGAATGGGCCTGCCCTTGTATTCATTTTAGTTGTCAGTCATGGGGCCTGAACTCTGGGCTTGGGCACTGTCCTTCAGCTCTTCAGCTCAAGGTTAGCACTCTACCACTTGAGCCATAGTGCCACTTCTGGCTTTTTCTGTGTATGTGGTTCTGAGGAATCGAACCTAGGGCCTCATGCATGCAAGGCAAGCACTCTACTACTGAGCCACCTTCCCAGCCCCTTGCATTCATTTTAAAACAACCATGCCAAGGCCTGAAGGAGAAGGCAAAGTTTTCGAGAGTTGGTACTGCTCAGTAGGACCCCTGAACCGTTCAGTCTCCAACACACACAGTAAGGCCCTCCTACCCCAACCTCTGCACCAGTAGAAGAGAACCTTCAGGAATGGTTTTTCTAACGGAATAAACCCTAAACTCCATTCCTCCACACTTAATAACGTCATCTCCTGCATTGCAAGGGCTGAGGCGATTTCAGGGAAGAAGGCCCTCTCCTCTTGTCACCTCCTAGGTGTGGCCCTGAGTAACTGCTCCTGCATCCCCCAGCACCCCCATTAGCACCTAGAGATCAAAGGAAAAAACTGGATAAAGCACAGAATTTTTTTGTTGGTTGTAGAACTTGAACTCAGGGCTTGGATGCTGTCTCATGGCGAGTGCTCTACCACTTTGAATCGCAGCACCACTTCATTTTCTGGTAGTTAATTGGAGATAAGAGTCTCATGGATTTTTCTGCCCAGGCTGGCTTTGAACTGTGATCCTCAGATCTCAGCCTTCTGAGTAGGATTACAGGCATGAGCCACCAGCACCTGGCTAGTATAGACATTTTTTGGCTTAATTTTTTTTGGAGGGGTCCGGTCATGGGCCTGAATTCTGGGCCTGGGCGCGATCCCTCAGCTCTTCGGCTCAAGGCTAGCACTCTGCCACTTGAGCCACAGCACCACTTCTGGCTTTTTCTGCTTATGTGGTGCTGAGGAATCGAACCCAGGGCCTCATGCATGCAAGGCAAGCGCTCTACCACTGAGCCACCTTCCCAGCCCCTAGCTTAATTTTTTTAACCTAAAACACAGAACCTACAAGTTGTACATTTTCATGGAGAACACTAAGTAGTGTTTAAATCAGGGACTTGCTTTATGTGTGGGAATCTCACCCTCATCTACTATATGATGCTGATTGCTGGTCTTGACTGTATGTGTGTGTGTGTGTGTGTGTGTGTGCCCTCACGCGTGCACGCACGCATGTGCAGGTGCGTGCTTAGAGCTGATGCTGTCTTCTTTGGCAGTCCTATCTAGAACACACATGTATTCCCAGTTCTTTAGGGAGCAGGGGTCGCCTAGGGCTCAGCAATCCCACTGTAGAATCCTAAATTTCCTCGGCTCTGCAGGGAAGACCAGCACACCCACATTCATAAGTGCAGTGAGGCCCCCACAGAGCATTAGATTCCCTGCTTTAAATTCAGTACAAATTTTGCAGTTTCTTGTCTTTAGTGAGTCAACTTTGATGTTTATAAAGATAATTCTTGGGGCTGGGAAGGTGGCTCAGTGGTAGAGTGCTTGCCTTGCATGCATGAGTCCCTGGGTTCGATTCCTCAGCACCATATAAGCAGAAAAAGCCAGAAGTGGTGCTGTGGCTCAAGTGGTGGAGCGTTAGCCTTGAGTTGAAGAGCTGAGGGGCAGTGCCCAGGCCCAGAGTTCAGGCCCCACGACCAACCAAAAAATAAAAATAATAATTCTTAACCACAGTCCTGCTAAGCAGACACTAGGCACACCACGCTGCAGCTAGACTTTTAGTGTTGGCCTTATTGGTTTTGTTGGGAAGTTGGTTGTAGGTGTGTTTAAGTGATAGTGAGTTTGTAGCAACTGCTTCAATCCCCACCATTTTTCTCCCATTTTTTGAATTCGCAGACAGGGAAAATTAGGCTAATTGCTTCTCCTCCCTCCTATTTTTCTTCTCTGCCAGTACTAGGATTTGAACTTAGTGCCTCTTGCTGAGCTTTATTTCCCTCATGGCTAGTAGGCACTCTACCACTTGATCCATACTTCCAGCCTTTTATTTTTGCTGATTTATTGGAGCTCAGAGTCTCATGGACTTTTTTTCTGCCCAGGCAGGATTTGAACTAAGATCCTCAGCTCTCAGCCTCCTGAGCAGCTAGGATTATAGATGTGAGCTACCAGCATCCAGCCTGACATACAATCCACATTCAATATGGAGATATTAGTTAGATCTATGAGTGAACAGAAAAAAGTCTAGATTGCAGTTTATTACCATTGACAAAGTCATTGACATCATCTGCCTTGATTTCCCAATATTGCATTATTCCTGTGATCTCCACCCCAGAAACTTCCCATCATCCACTGCTCAGCAGGCTGAAGGCAGTCCTGATAAGTGTGGGCTAAAGACTTTGAGATGATGCACCCACACTAATGGTTCTTGATTTCCCTAGCAGAACCCTTTCCTTCTAGTCCAGAATCCTCACATCCTTAGTAATGGACCTTCAGAGGTTGACTCTGCACTCAAGTACCATCTTCCCATATCTCCTTGGCCAGAACTCTGAGCCCAAGGCCCAAGGCCCTAGCACAAGAAGAGAAAAAAGGCTTATGAACAGCTATGGCATGCAGCCTTTCCTAAGGTTGGGATCCAGACAGTGTACGGGAGCAGACAACCAAGCTGGCACACTTGAAATCTGTCCTTTAAAAGAAATATTCGCCAGGCACCGGTGGCTCATGCCTGCAATCCTAGCTACTCAGGAGGCTGAGATCTGAAGATCATAATTCAAAGCCAGCCTGGGCAGGAAAGGCCGTGAGACTCTGATCTCCAATAAATCACTAGAAAACCAGAAGTGGAGCTGTGGCTCAAGCCGTAGAGTACTCGCCTTGAGCTGAAGAGCACAGGGACAGTGCCCAGGCCCAGAGTTCAAGCCCCACGACCAACCAAAAAAAAAAAAAAAAAAAAAAAGATGTGCAGATACAAGGCTTCCAGAAGACCCCACAGAAGTTTCTGTGAACCTCGACCCAGGAGTCCTCTCAGATATCCCACGAGGACAACTCCACGTCTGGACCCATGGTTCACCATCCTCATCATCCTCTCACAGAACTCTCACAAAGCATGGTGGAGCTATTTCTGAGTTTTCTTCTCAGTATCAAGCTCCCTGAATGCTGCATATCCCAGCAGACCAGAAATGCTGGCCCAGAATGACACAGATGGATTGACCATAGGCAGAGGAGAAGAAAGCTGGCAGACCAGAGATCTCCAACTAAAGAAAAGCCACTCAGATGTACTTGTCGTTTCTGTCTGACTAAGCATGGGGACCCTTCAGAAAATGTAAGATTAGGGGCTGAGAATGGCAAAGAGTACTAGCAATTGACACCTGTCGATCACTTGCTGATAATTAACTATAGCCTGTGTTTTGGTTTTTTCTTTCTTTCTTTAACTTTTGTTGTTGCTATAAATGTGATGTGCAGAGCTACTACAGTTATGTAAGCGGGGCATAAAGA